TGAGCGTGGGACCTCTCAGTCCGCAGGCAGACGCTCCATCCACTGAGCCAAACCAGTTTTGGCCTGTGAAATATCTTAGAGGAGACAGATCCTATATAATAAAAGCCCAATATGCTAAATGTCCGGTCATCTGTTCAGCCAATCAAAGCATAATATGCTAATAATATGCTAAGGCCACTCAACTGTTTGCTATGACATGCACTGACCACCAGGGGTCAGACACTTTGATTGGTAGATTAGCTTGCTGCTGAGATCTGACCCATTGGGACTGAGGGAGATGAGCTGGACACACTCTGGAGCCCTCCTGTGGTACCTCTCCGGTTGACCAACCTCCTGCATCCCTCCCCGGCCCTGATCGTGCACTGGTGGGGGCCCTCGGCCTGGCCTGTGCCCTCTCGCAATCTGGGAACCTTCAGGGGATGTTGGAAAGCCGGTTTTGACCCGATCCCGCAGACCAGGCATAGGGACCCTACTGGTGCACGAATTCATGCACCGGGCTCTAGTATTGAATAAAGAGTTAGATACACATCCTGAAGGTCAGAGGAGAGGTCTTGGTTGGAGAGAGAAGGATGTGTGAGTCATTAGGGTATTGAAGCCAAGGGCCTGGATGAGATTGTCGGGGTAGAGAACAGAGCTTGAGAAGAGGAGAGAACCAAGACTAAGACTTGAGGATGCCGACCGACCCTGGAGAGGGAGAAAGAAAGCAGTGGAAGGTTGAGTCATAGAAGCTGAGGGAAGACAGTGTTTCAGTGAGGGTGAGTGGGTGGATAGATGGAAAGGTTGTTTTCGTACCATCTTAGTAGCCTATTGCATGTGGCCTACTAATATTTTTCTTTTGCAATTAATGGAAGAGATCCTATTTTTTAAGATTTTCTGATTGTCCAAAATTTATTTTGATTTTTAAATTTCTAGAACATTAGAGGTTGATTTAAATATAGCTATAAGAATATATTCTGAAGTGAAATGCAGTTAACTTTTTAATTTCTGTTGTATGTATGTAATTCTGTTGTAAGTTAGCATAGATAATTAATATACAATAAGTATTTTTTAAATAAGAATTTTCTAGGAAAAAGTAATTCCTAAATGGTAGTGCTTTGAACTTAAATTTGATGCTTATGAAATTGTTTTCGTGTCATTCTGTTTGTAAGAAAATCTGAACACAAAAATTACTAGATGTTTATTTTATAATAGTGCATATTCTTTCTGTTTGAGTCTTTTTTGGTAGGGGGAAGTCACAGTTGTACGTGAAATTCTATCCAGTAGAGTGTTAATGGTTATCCAATTTATTTGCTAATTTCCAGATATTGTAGTCTTAAATAATAATGTCATTATTTTGATATTCAAATACTGGTAAGAACTTAATAAATACAAATAGGAAATATTATCTTCTTTTATAGGGTATATTTCAGAAATCGCTGGGTAAAGACTGTTCACCCAGTTGTGCATCAGTACTGTTTGATCTCAAGCGCACATTCCACCTTTCAGATGCCACAGAAAGAAGATATTCTTAAGCACCGAGTGGTTGTTGTTACATTGAATACTTCCCAGTACCTCTGTCAGTTGGACCTTGAACCTGGTATGCTGACTCAAGACACAAATAGGGGGTTTCTGAATGCCTAGGGCTTCTGCATTCCCTCTAGACCAGGAGTTGGCAAACTGTGGCCTGTTGTCTATTGTACATAAAGTTTTATTGGATGGAACAGAGCCATGCCTAATTATTTACCTATTTATTACCCATAGATGCTTTTGTGCTACAACAGCTTAGTTGAATAGTTGTAAAAGAAATTGTCCGGCCAAAAAAACCTAAAATATATATTGTTTGGTCCTTTACAAAAAATGAAAATTGTCAACCCCTAGTTTAGACATTTTATACATTTTAATGATGGCTTTTCTATTCTCTAATTGATCAGATGGTATTTATTTACTATTGATTATATGAAAAATTCAAATTTGGACAATGTTGGTGTTTTTTACAGTTTCTCAAGTTTTTGCTTTAAAATACTTTTGTATAGTGTAGACACAACCACAATCACAATTGTTGTTTTTTTTACATACTATTGCGATTGTTATAAGACAGGAGCTAAATAAAATTAAACTAATGTTATACAAAGTACAGATATAAAATGATAAGAAATTCTGATAAATATGGCAGAACTTAACCATCAAAAAATGGTATCACTTTAAATTAGTTGTTTTGGAAGAATATTCATTTATTGCTGCCATATTATAATTGTTGGCGTGGCTCAACACTTTTTTGTTCTCTCCTTTTGGAATTGCTTTCAGAGCCAGTGACAAATTCTTTTGAACATCCTGGAAGGTAGAGACTATTCTGTTCATCTGGTATTCCTGGCACCTGGCCCGGGATATAGAAACCTGGAGGCCCTTGATAAACCTCTTTTTATCTTAAATAATGAATGGTGGCCAACTTTCTTTTTTGAAGGTAGATTTAATTTTAGAAAAGCTTCAAAATATTTCTGAGACATGTAAGCCTTTCTGAGACTGGTAAATAAGGTAGGTAGGTGATCAAACTGAGCAATACCATTAGTGGTAAAAAAGAGAAAGAAAAGACGTGCCTCTCAGTAATGAGACTTATTTTCTTGTGCATGCAGCTCATAGCTGGCTGGTGAGGGCAGTTACAAAAGCAGAGTTTCAAAAATGTTTTGAACAGTGACTGCATCATTGGAATGAGTTATGTTTCTTCCCAACTGACTTCTTTGAATGGAACAACACTTATTTGAAATGTAAATTTTGGTATGTTTATTTAACAATCAGTCTCATTACTTTATGATTATACTCTGCATATTTGCCGTACAGGTTAAGTACCCAAACCTCCTAAACAGTTTAGGTTTGTGTGAAGGAGTAAAGAATGGCTTTGAAGAGTGAGCGTATAGAAGAATACTTAGTAGAAGTCAACTATGCTTTGTTCTGAGTGTTTAATTCTCATATTAACCCTGTGGAGGGTTATTTTACAGATAAGAAAACCAAGGCTCAGTTTGAGTAATTCAAGTTCCTTTATTAGCTTAAGCAATAGGTATAATAATTTAATGATTTATCTAGTTCCTGATTCAAACCTAGCTCTATTTAATTATAATAATGAAAATAGTAGGTATTTTTCACTGGTCTCAGTGTTTCCTTCCAATTTAATTCTGGGTTTATGTAATCACCACCCTTAATTAGTCTTGTGGAACAAGAAACACAATTCTTTCAACAGGGAGAAAAATGCATGTGTCCATATCTTGCTTGGGCCACTGTGGGTAAATAGACAACAGTTATTAATATTTGTATTGTCAACCATAGCTATTTGTTTAAATGGATGATTTTGAGAGTTATTACTGCATTAGAAAGTTGTATGAACAGATTGTTTGGAATTTGTTGATATTTATAGAAATAGGGATGGAAATAGAGGCTAGGTTCTTGGGCCAACTCACAGTGGGCTGATTAGCTCAGAGTTTTATGTCATCATTCTGCTGAGAAACTACTTACTGTTCTTTGCTATGTTAGTAAAAAGAGGGTCCCCTCTGACCTCATTGAGTTGGTAGTAGGGGACAGCTTTTTCCTTCTCTACATTGAGACAGCAAGGAGATTTTTGCCTCTTTCCCCCCCTTTTAGAGGAAAAGGGGCTTTTCCTCCTTTCTGTACACAGATTTCTGTGCCCTGGGGGACTTGTGATAATGTACTTTTGACATTTGTTATTAGTCTTTTTCCCCCCAGGCTTGATATTTTCATTGTAGGGTTTTAGATTAAAAAACATATATATATATTTATCTCTTATCTGTATATACAGAATGGGCAAAAGTAGGCTTACAGTTGTTTGTATGGAAAATAATACAATAATTAATAATACAAGAATAAACTTTGCATATTCACAACTGTAAACCTACTTTTGCCTCCACACACTAAATCTAATCAAATTAGTGAATAAGCTGATAGATAATCTTAGATTTTAAAATAAAATTGTAACTCTTCTTTATATTAGATTTTGAGTGTGATTTTCTTTATTTTAATGTCTAATACGCATAACTAGGTTAAAGTTACTTATGAACTACCATTGTTTTATTTTTGATGTTTCATCGAATACATAGTGAAAGGACTTTGGCCCTTAGTGTTTAATTGCCAGCCCTTCTTTTTGGTGAAGAGTTGCTACCTGGTACTTTTAAAATATCTTTAAGTATAGCAATTCAGCTGTTAGTATTGGGGGCTTTAGCACCAGATGTCATTTATGTATCTATTATTGAGTAAGATAATTACTCCTTTTAATCTCTGGTTTTTAAATAATAATTTAAATGGATGATTTTCCAAATTGAGGATTCACAACTCTTAAATTGGCACACTAAACTCTTTCTTTAGCAGAAATGAAAAAAAAACAACACACACACACACAAACCTGCTCTGGCCTCTATTGCTGCTTTAATATGCTTTACTGTGTTTACTGTGTACTTTGTAGGGTTCTTTACGCACATTCTGTTAGATGAAGCTGCCCAGGCCATGGAGTGTGAAACCATTATGCCTCTAGCATTAGCAACTAAAAGCACTCGGGTTGTCTTGGCTGGTGACCACATGCAGGTAATTGCCCTCTGCATCATCATATTCAAAGGAACTTTGAATTATATGTTGATGTTTAATATTATTTTCTAAAATACCCAATGAAATTGTGCCATGTATTATACTTTAAGTACTTTAAATATTTCTGCACTAATAGTGAAACAGACTGGTATTTTTGAAGGAAAATTATAATCCCACTACAATGTCTAACAACATTTTCATGCTTGTTAATTTGAAGTTCAGTTCTCTGTAGTATGAATATTTGGGTCTTATTTTTTTTTATAAAGCAAATTTAAATCCAAATTATTTTTTTTACAATTCCCCAAGTCCTGTTCCCACATTTGTTTTCCTGTAGGGTTAATTTTTTGCTATCATAACAAAGTGCTTAATTAAAAATAATGGTCAAAGTCTCAAAACGAGGTCTGATTTTATGTATTTGCATACTATACATGAAGGAGAAATATGATTTTCTATTAAAATCTGTTTTACAATATCTTCTGCCACAGATAAGATTGGACCTATATAGAGCTGTTGCTGTCAAGACATCCAGCAAAGAGTTGAATGTGTAGAGGAACAAATTCTGTTTTTGTTTCTTTGCCAAAAGTAATTTAATTTTGTTTTTTAGCTGCTAGAGGTATAATCAAGAATGGCTCCTTTTATACTTTGTCATGAGGAAAAGATTATTTTACAAATTATTAAAAAAATTATATTCATATGCAAAATGTCCTACCAGCTCACCATTATGAATAGTTCATCGATTTTAGTGAAATGACTGACTGACTAACTCCCCCAATGATGCAATGGGTTGCATTCTTGAAATTATTGAGTAGTAGCTATTTAGTATGTTGGAGGAGCCCTTTATAAACCTATGTGTAGGAACTCTAGGTCAGTGAAATGAAAAGTTAGAAATTTTAGCCTCATTCTTCATAGTAATAAAATTGTTCATAGAAAATACATTTTCTTTTGCTTGTTCTAACATTCAGCATGTTGAAGTTTAGTACATCAGAAGTTTTAGCGTGGTGGATTTTTAAAAAAATAAATATTTTTACTGATTTTTAGGGAGGAGGGTAGAGGGAGAGAGATAGAAACATCAATGATAATAGAGAATCATTGATTGGCTGCCTCCTGCATGCCCCATACTGGGGATCGAGCCTGCAACCAGGGCATGTGTCCTGACTGTGAATTGAACTGTGACCTGGTTCATAGGTTGATGCTCAACCACTGAGCCACAACGGCTGGGCCAGCATAGTGGATTTTTTAATGAGTAGGTTAAAAAATACTACTCATATATTTAATTAAGTTTTCTCTGTATGTTTGTCTGTTACAGCTCAGTCCTTTTGTTTACAGCGAGTTTGCCAGGGAGAGAAACCTTCATGTTTCATTACTTGATCGACTCTATGAGCATTACCCCGCTGAGTTCCCATGCAGGATCCTCCTCTGTGAGAACTACCGGTCCCATGAAGCTATCATCAAGTAGGTGTGAACTGCCCTTTCTGTATCACACTTCCTGTGATCTGGCTGGAGGGGACTCAAAACAACACTGTTTCTAGGGACCAATTATTCCCAGCAGTGTTACATGGTCTCCTGAGTTGCAGATTATGTTTACTTTTATGTTTGTAAAAGAAACTTCAGAAGTCAGAGCTGTAATTTTTCACAGAATAGAGCAATTCCGAAAACTAACACTTTAAGCTTTACTAGCTATGATATATTTTTCTGTGACTGAATATATAGTATACATGTAAAACTACGTGATATAATAAATAAATATGTTGATAAACTATATAATGGTTTGCTTATTGTGTCCGTCTTATACAAGGAATCTGTTTGAAATGAAGGAAGGGAGGAAGGAAAACCATGAAACTTAGTAATAAACTTTTTAAAGGATTCTATTAAATATAGTACACATCCACATCCATAAAAATAAAAATATCATAAGTGACAGCTCAGGGAATAGTCATAAACTGAGTACACTCATGTAACTGGCACCCAGATCATTAAACAGAACATTCCCAGCACTCTGGAAAGCCCCTCCTTCAACCAAAAACTTAAAATGTTTTAAAGTTTAGTATAATTTAATAATGTTGATTATGTCAGTCATGTGAAAACCATTTTTAGGTTTCTCTGAAAGCAATAGAATAAATATAAAAATTTAGATTTAACTGTGGCTTTGTTAATATCTCAGCATGTGCTTCCTTTTTGATTGTTGCCAGTCATTTGCTGCAGTCCTTGATGAATCAAGTACTAGCTGGTATCTTCTGCAAAATGTATTCATTTTATTGTTAAAGACTTGAATGTCCTTCAGTTGTGTGTATTGTTTCAATATCTGAATATCTTTGTTTGCATATATATGATCTAAATCAACCAGGAAAATATACTAGCTAGCACATTTCCTCAAAGAGCAAGATTCTCATCTGGTATTGAACTGTCGTCATTTATTCCTTTTCTTTCTGTATTCTGGCTTTGTACCTTACCCAAATCAATTCATTTAGCAATTCGGAGCCTATTCTGATGTCATTGCTGTGATTTTGGAGAAAATCTTGGCCTCATTGGATTAAAAGAAATCATGGACATAAAGCAACATTTTTAGGATTGACTGATACATTTATTTTCTTATGGGTGAATTGAATTTTGATAATAGATTGCTCTTTACTTACTTATTTTGGTCTTTTTCTGCAGTTACACCTCTGAGCTCTTCTATGAGGGCAAACTGATGGCCAGTGGAAAGCAACCAGCACACAAGGATTTCTACCCACTCACTTTCTTTACAGCTCGAGGGGAAGATGTACAAGAAAAAAATAGCACAGCTTATTATAATAATGCAGAGGTACCTTAGTTCTTTTGCAAATTGTTAATATTTCACAGTCACATAGCCTGGTCTTGTTGAGAGCATTTATTTAAAAATTTGGGTTGACATCTTATTGGGTGTTGACTTCATTTACATGAAAATAGTATGTAAAGTTCATTCTTTCTTGTGTGGTTAAGATGAATATCCTGTAGGAAACAAAACCTTTGAATTACATATTGTCTTATGATAAAATACAAAATACATTGAAAAGAAAAGTTGGTGTTATTTTATATATATTACTAGAGGCCCGATGCACGGAATTTGTGCAAGAGTAGGCCTTCCTTCCCCCGGCTGCCGGCACTGGCTTCCCTCTGGGACCCGGGCTTCCCTCTGGCCTCTGGCACTTGGGACCCGAGCTTCCTACACAAAGAGAGGCCCTGCCCACCCGCCCACTGATCGGTGGCCTGGGCCTCCCTCTTTGGGGTGATCGTGGAGCCCCCCTATTGATTGCCCTGCTGGCCAGTGGCCTGGGCCTCTCTCTGTGGGGTGATCATGGGGCGATGGCCGGGCCCCTGACCAATAGCATTGCACCCACCTTGGCTGGCCTGACACCAGTGGGTGTCATAGTGTGGTCCTGGATGGTCATCCCGATGGTGGTTCTGCTGTTTGGCCATTCAGTCGATTTGCATATTACCCTTTTATTATATAGGATTATTGTTAGCAATCTAAAATAGACTATGATTATATTTTATAGTGCATACTCAAATGACATATCATTTTAAGTGAGTAAGACTTGAATTGCAGAATTCTGTGCTCCAGAGAGATCACACAGACTGAGGTGATGATGTTGCTAACCCATTATGTGCTACAACTTATATGGTCCTTTTACAATGTGACTTTAATTTCAGAAGAGTGTGAGTAGTATGAGGGGTCAGATCAGGCAGCAGACAAAAAGTTGGTGAAGTCTTTAGGGACCAGCAAGCCAGAGACCCTTTAGATAAGTTCTGGTCATCACAGTGCATGGAGTTTTGGACTTCAGGAAACCCAGAGGAGGGCTGGGGGGAGGTTCCTGGTTAATCATTGGGGGAATTGCTCTTGATCTACTATATCCATCTTGCTTTGTTCCTTAAGTCCCATTCTTTACTCATTTTATTTTCAAAGACATGGCTTTTATGATGTAATAGTAATTCATTTTTCTTTAAAAAATTGATCAGAGGCCTGTAGTTAGAAGTTAGTACAAGAAAATCAATAGCACCCACTTGATAAAATCCTAGCTGAAAGCAAAGAAACTTGACATTTCAGTTAGTCTGTGCCATTTAATTTTAAGAAAAGGTAAACTTTTCTTTAAATGTTTGAAATATTGACAAATAACTCTAGGTTTTTCTTTATTACTTTTACTCTCAGGTTGCAAACCACTGGCCCAGAAACTAGAAAACTAGCCATGGTGGGGTGAGTGCTGACAGGGAGAGAGGCAAGCTTGAACTCTAGCAGGCTTGGTGGTCCTGCCTTGCCACCAGGGGTCAGAGCTGAGCTAACTGTAATCTTGAGGCAGGGTTGGTGTTTGCCAGAGGCTCAGCTTCTCAGCCAGGGCCACTTGTTCCTTCATGGGGACATACATGTGTGTTTCCCAGGAAACCTGCAGCCTATAGAGTAAATAAGGTGCATCACCCTAGATCAGTGGTCAGCAAACTCATTAGTCAACAGAGCCAAATATCAACAGTACAACGATTGAAATTTCTTTTGAGAGCCAAATTTTTTAAACTTAAACTATATAGGTGGGTACATTGTTATTAACTTAATTAGGGTACTCCTAAGGCTTAGAAGAGCCACACTCAAGGGGCCAAAGAGCCGCATGTGGCTCGCAAGCCGCAGTTTGCTGACCACTGCCCTAGATTGTCAATATACTAAAAAAATGTTGGGGGTTGGATAAAGAAATATTTTCCATATTTTAAACACAAAGATTTGTGTGAACTTTAAATATTAACTATGTAACTTTAGTGAAATGTGAAGCCACCTTGAACTTCACCACTAGATCATGGTTGTTTAGTCACTTTCTTCAGCCCAGTGAGTTACTCCAGTGAAAAGAGCCTGGAGGCTCTTTCTTCAAGGGGCAAAAACTAATCCTTGTTCACTGGGGCTGAGGGAGTGGGGTAGATATTGCTTGGGCTAGGAGTAGAAGCTCATTGGTTTATAGCCAAGATTTTCAAGTTTTGAATACCAGTGTAGGCATGCTTGGACTTTTTTTGAGGGTAGAGTATGTATAAGTGAAACTCAGATCTAGGAAACCAACCATGGTAGGGTGAGTGCTAACAGAGAGAGGCAAGTGTTCTAAAGCAAGTGGTACCAGCTACATCAATAGGGGAAACATGAGATTTTTTTCTTGTATAGAGGTTCTGACTAAAGTTTAGGAGGACATTATGAGATTTGAGAATGGTTTAGTTTCATCATTATAAAAATACTTTTGACTCACACAGACTTACAGTCATAAGAATCTTAGAACAGAGGATGAAATTAAAAGTAAAATTAAAGAATCTGGAGCTGAATATTTACAGTATTTTTGTTGTGTATAATTGTCCTTTGTTTGGGGAACATGTTTTTTTGTTTTATATCATGTGTTTGTCTATTATATGAATTTGTGTCTTTCACACGCTTCACATGGCAGAATAAAAGAGTGAGAAAGGTCATCCCTTTTTTTTTTCTTGAATCTGACTGTACTCATATCCTATAATAATGAAATGGTCTTAATATAATGCCAAGTTGGTGGATGGAGGGAAGCAGAATTTAAACACTAAGCACCAATACATGATTCTTAACCTTGAGAAATTCAGTGTGAAGAGAGGAGCTATGGAAACAATTAAGATGGGATAAGTGAGAGAAAGACTTGTACAGTTATTAAAAATCAAATCCACCAGGTATGATGGAACTTATGGCAGAGAGGGGACATGTTTTTTGCCTTATATATACTGGGACTCTGTATATATAAGTGTTACATATATTTATAATTATTATATCTTTCTTGTGGATTGACCTTTTTATTATTTTAAAATGTCCATCTATATCTCTGGTAACATTTTGTTTTTGGTTTTAAAGTCAATTTGTCTAATATTAGCATAGTTACTCCAGCTAACTCATGGTTGCTGTTTGCATGGCATGTTTTCCCACCCTTTCACTCTTATCCTTTTATCTTTACCTTTGAATCTAAAGTATGTCTCTTATAGACCAAATCATTGCATCATGTTTTTAATTTTAATTCTAGTCTAAAAAGAATTTCCTTTTGATCAAATTTTCTAAATCGCTTACATCCTATATAATAAATCCTATATAATAAAGAGCTACTATGCAAATGGTCGTTGTGCCCTCGTGCCAGAGCCGGGGGACCAGAGGCCGCACCCCCTGCCCCGGGCTGGGGGACCTGAGGCTGGGCCGGGGGACCAGAGGCCATGCCCCCGCCCCAGCGCCAGAGCCGGAGGACCTGAGTCCATGCCCCTCACCCTGGCACCGGGGCCAGGGGACCTGAGGCCACACCCCCTTCCCGGCAGGGCTTGACGTGGGACCTGAGGCTGTGCCCCCCCACCCTGCGGGGCTTGACGGGTGTGGGGCTGGCTGGGTCTGGGTCTCGCATGATTTTGAGGCGTGCGTGGGTGGATGGGAACTTGACTCTGGGTCCCGCAGCACACCCCAGACTCTGACAGGAGGGAGATTTTCAAATACATTTTACTAATTTTCTCTCATCTCTGACACTTCTATTATAGAGAAAGGGCAAATAGCAATATTAAAATGTTTCCTCTAATTAATTCTCTTTTAATGTGCAGGAGTTTTGTGCACCGGGCCACTAATTTACTAATAATGTTATTGATATGGACTTAACCTCTGCCTTGCTTTTTGTTTTCTATATCATGTGTTTTTTGGCCCTTCTTTTCTCTTTTACTACCACTGTTTGCATTAAGTGCATTTTTCTTTTGTCATATTTTAATTCCTTTAATTATTCATTAATGATTTTTGATTTGTTTTCTTAGTGGTTTCTCTGTCTTGCAGTATACATCTTATCAGTGTCAACTTCAGATTTAAACTAACTTAATTCTAATGAGATATGAGATATGTAACTTTACTCCTACATTTCTCTATTCCCTTTTTTGTGCTATTATTGTTTTTTATATTATACTTACGTATATTACAACTCAACAATACATTGTTACAATTATATAATTTTATGCCTTTAAGGACTCTGAGAGTTTGCTGTATTAACCTTCTTATTTACTATTTCTGGTTCTTCTAACTTCTTTCTGTAGATTTGAGTTACCATCTGTCAATTTTCACTCACCTCCTTTGTACTCAGACCCACCTGTCTTATTCCTTACAATGAGATCACCATGTCTTCAGCCCAGTTTGCTCTTCAGAATCCTTGGACAGTCTGTGTATTTGGTGCCCTTGCTGTTATAGCATCATAACAGTAGGGTGACTATCACCCATTGAATTTGTATCTGGAAGTGGGAACTACATTCTATTCAATAATCTTCAAGTTCTTGAAAGGAATAAAAAGTGTCAAATTTTACTCACTATATTTAATGCTGTCAGTTTATATACTATTAGTAAATCCTATATAATAAAGAGGGAATATGCTAATTGACCATCACACCCTCACAAGATGCTGGTGCCTAGTTCCCTCAGCCCCGCTGGGTCCTCCTGCACCCCCCACTGACTGAGGCTCAGGCAAGCAGGCACGGCCCAAGGAACAGGCAAGCTGCTGATGGCGGCTGCCCAGCCACCCAGGGCCGGCCCGAGGCACAGGTAGACAGGGCTGGCCGAGGCTTGCGCTGCAGGCAGTGGCAGCAGCAGAGGTGTGATGGGGGAGTCACCTTCCCCTGATTGCCGGGTCGCCTCCCATCCCTGAGGGCTCCTAGACTGTGAGAGGGGGCAGGCTGGGCTGAGGGACCCCCCTCGCCCTCCAGTGCATGAATTTTCATGCATTGGGCCTCTAGCAGTAAATAAATAAATAATATATTTAAAAGACATTAAAAATATTTCTCCTTCCTCTCTAGACTCTTGTCTGATCCTCTATTGAGCTTGTGTTATATATATTTTTTTTTAATTGGGAATTTGTTTTCTAAATGCACAGTAATCTCTTAGGCAAGGAACATGTTTTCTTAATTATTGTATTTCCCACTGTGCTAAGCATTGAAACGGTTTGATCAATTCATTGAATTAAAATAGATTGACCTACATTAAGAGCCCAATAAATGGCATGTAAAATATTCATTTGGGTAAAATATGCCATTACTTTATTGCAAGGTTCATGAAATGGCTTGGGCGAAGTTGTACTGCTAGATAACAGTGAATTCTGAAGGTCTGTCTCTGATCCAAATTTGTCCTAGTCCCAGCGGTGGTTAGGTACCACCTGCTGGCTGCTCTGCTTAGTTATATCAGTGGAGGAAGGGCAGTTCCAGACCTTGCACTGCCGAGACTGAATGGTGGCACTCACTCTAGGCATCTCTAGTTGGTGGTTAGGTTCTTTTGCCTGATCTGGCGAGAGTGGACTGAGAACTACTGAGACTGTCAGGATTTGCTTCTCTTTTTCCCTAAATGGGGTTGTCAGTTTTATGGCCATATCCTTGTCCTTCTTCCTACACAGGAACTTAAACCTGTCCTTATTTAAGAATGGAGGAGACTGGGTAAAGGGAGGGGCCAGTTGCCATTACATTGTCTCATTTTCATGTTTTCACTGGGTGCATTATAGAATTTACTGTTTGAAATGTAAATAAAATGTTTTAATTCTCAATGTGTTTATAAAAGCAAAGCATTATTCTTATTTAGAGGTAATTTTAAAGTGATAAAATGGAATCCTTTATACATCTATTTCAGTTACCATATTCTTTTCTCTAAACACTTGCGTAACTTTTAATATGTGTATGTATGTTTGTTTATAGGTATTTGAAGTGGTGGAGCGTGTGGAAGAGTTAAGAAGGAAATGGCCAGTAGCATGGGGGAAGTTAGATGATGGCAGTATCGGTGTGGTGACTCCATATGCTGATCAAGTGTTTAGGATACGTGCTGAACTTCGAAAAAAGAGATTATCTGATGTTAATGTAGAAAGGGTGCTAAATGTTCAAGGTGAGTATTAATTGAAACAAACTAAGTTATTCAGATGATTAAATCTTAAAGTGTGTGCACATTGGATTTTTAATTCTCAAGATCTCTTTCCTGGAGAAGTAATTATGTCTTCATTTCATATCAAGTTCTTTAATGCCAAATTTGGCAATTAAAGGTTGAGCTCATTTATATGTTTGTTAGATTTTTATATCCGAATAAAAGAAGTATGAACAAATTAACTTTTTCTATGACTGTAATTGTATAAATTACACACGCTATCTGTAGCATACGCCTACTGTTGTTACATTCTGAGGACTAATTTGTTCATAAAGATTTTTACAAACTTGTACCTGGCAAGCAAGTTCTGCTTAAATGCATTTTTAAAGGCACAGTTTGTTTTCCATCTACAGACTTTCCTCAGTGAATGGTTACCAGCAACTAGTTGCTATGAAATTTGTGCTTTTAAATAATGAAACAACATTATGATGTGAATGCTGAAAAAGCCTAGTACAATCTCAGGTTTCATGGTAATATACAATAGTAAGAATAATATAATTTCTAAATCATGGGGAAAAATAACTCCCTTGTACCACGTGTTGTCCAGATCACACAGAATTTGGGTGCATTTTAGAAGGAATAGTACTAGTAAACTAGGAAGCACCCAGCGGAGATCTGGCTATAGAAACTGCCACATGGGAGTCAGGAATGGTCGAAAGAAGTAGGATTGTTTGGCCTACAGAAGAAAAGAGTAATGTGAAAACTGTGTTCAAATATTTGGAGGTCTGTCATAGAAAGAGGGAATATACGTGTTACTATAAGAAAGAGCATTAGAAATTTATTGTACAAACTATATTCAATAAGGGTTCCTATGGAATCAGCAAGAGGTTCGATGACCCTGCTTTAATGAAGGTTCCTTGTATTGAGTGGGACTTCGAATCACTAAGGCTGGTTCCAGCAATACTAAAATTTAAAAAAATTTACCATTTAACCATGTTTATGTGTTCATTCCACTTCCCTTTTCCTCCCAGCCCCTGGCAACCACCATCATACTTTCTATCTATAAATTTGACTACTCTAGGTACTTCATTTGAGTGCAGTAATGCACTATTTGTCCTTTTGTGACTGGCTTATTTCATTTAGCATAATGTCTTCAAGGTTCATCAGGTTGTAGCCTGTGTCAGAATTTCTTTCCTTTTTAAGGCTGACTAATATTTTATATATGTATATACACATTTATGTGTTCATCTGTTGATGGATTCTTGGGTTGCTTTCACCTTTTGGCTATTTTGAATAGTGCCGCTGTGAACATGGGTGTACAAATATCTGTGAGTCCCTGCTTTTAATTCTTTTGGATTGATTCCCAGAATTGGAATTGCAAGATCATGTTAATTCTATGTTTAATTTTTTGAGGAATCACCATACTATTTTCCATAGTGTTTTATATACCATTTTACATTCTCATCTGCCATGCATGAGTTCTAGTTACTCCACATTCTTGCCAATAACTGTCATTTAGCAATAACATTAAAAAAGGCAGAAAGAAATGCTTTTATTTTATCAGTCCTTCAGAATAACAATCTTAAGTCTTTTTTATTTATTTTTAATAGGAAAGCAATTCAGAGTTTTGTTTCTTAGCACAGTACGAACAAGGCATACTTGTAAACATAAACAGACACCAATTAAAAAGAAAGAACAACTGCTGGAAGATTCCACAGAGGACTTAGATTATGGTTTTTTATCTAACTACAAACTTCTCAACACTGCCATCACAAGAGCACAGTCCCTGGTTGCTGTGGTAGGTGATCCCATTGCTCTGTGCTCCATTGGAAGATGCAGGTAATTATGTGTTCCTGATTTGAGAAATTAAAGGGGAAAATGTAGAGTAATTTGTATACTTATGTGTACATTTATTTATATGACCTCTTGGCTAATTAAAATCAAGTTTAACTTTACCTGATAAACAGAAGGAACACAAAAATATATTGCTTTAAGTCTATTTTATACTTAATTGTGTATTCATTCAGTCATCAGTCAACAGATGTTTCTCAAGTGCTTACTATGTTCTAAGCACTCCTCTAGCCATTGAAGACAGGTCAGTGAATGAAATAGACAAAAATCTCTGCCTTTGAGGGGCTTACATATTATTGGGGAGGAAAAGAAGACTGACAATAAACAAAATAAGATAGTGTTGTATTTTACATGGGAAGTTCAATGGAAGAGAAATAGCACATTAAGGGGAGTTAGGAATGACGGGTCTGGTGGAGTGGGCTGGCTTGTGATTGTCGTAGTGTGGTCAGAGGAGGCCTCGCTGAGAAGCTAACACTGGTGGTGAGGGAGTGTGCTGTGCAGACCTGGGGTAAAAGTGCTCCAGGAAGAGGGAATAGCTAATACAAGGATCCTGAGTGGGTGTTTTGTGTGTGTGTCTCTTTGATGGAAATGACATTTTATATCGATACTGTGTTTTTTCCCTTCATTATTGTTTCAGCTCATCTTGATGAATTTCCTTCAGTCTACTCATTTTTCTCTCAAGGCTTCCTAATGTAAATAATTTTTCCTGTCTGGTTAATCCAAAGGTTCTGAAAATCAGGGTGGTTAAAAGTTTGTTACTTGTCTTTGGATATCATTGTTGGTATTAGAGTGTAGTCATAGTAACTATTTCTACTAAAGCGCTGTTAAAATGTTAACATAAAAAATTTCTCTATACACTTTTGATTTATACCAGTTAACAGGGATTTTAACTGCATGAAGCCAGCAATATAAGACTTGGCATTTGTAGTATTTAAAAACTATGTTGACATTAACAAGAAATCATTAGAATAGAAATTTATAATATTATTTTATGAAAAAAAATGCTAGGGATTACTTAAAATTTAAAAAAATATATATATTTTATTGATTTTTTTACAGAGAGGAAGGGAGAGGGATAGAGAGTTAGAAACATCAATGAGAGAGAAACATTGATCAGCTGCCTCCTGCACACCCCCTAGTGGGGATGTGCCCGCAACCAAGGTACATGCCCTTGACCGGAATCGAACCTGGGACCCTTCAGTCTGCAGGCCGAATCTATCCACTGAGCCAAACCGGCCAGGTCTACTTAAAATTTTTTAAGTATTGTAGTACCTTGTCAAAATGAGTTCAGAATAGTAGAAAGTGATATATACAGTTCTAAATAGGCCTTTTTGATATGTTAGAATTAAAGTAGGAAGTGGCCCTCTTTAAACTAGGCTTTCTGTTGCAATATAGATATGGCAATATTTTATTGTCTTTTTTCTATTTCAGCAGCAAAAAAGCATTCTATGGAAAGGGTAACCATTTGAGACCATTAAGAATAAGCTGCAAGTATTAGAGTTTAGGACTCCAAAAGAAGTTAATATTCTTTATAGGGAAAACCATTAACAAAGGGATCAAGAGGAGCTTTAATTTATGGTTACATTATGAAAAATAACCTTTTAAAACTTGAATGGCCCTAGCCAGTTTGACTCAGTGGATAGAGCATCAGCCTGCAGACCAAAGGGTCCTGGGTTTGATTCCAGTCAAGGGCACGTACCTTGGTTGCAGGCTCTTCCTCTAGTCAGGGCTCGTGCAGGAGGCAACCAGTTTATGTGCTTCTCTCACATCGATGTTTCTCTCTGTCTTTCCCTCTCTCTTCCACTTTCCCTAAAAATCAGTGGAAAAATATACTCATGTGAGGATTAACAACAACAAAAAACACACAACTTCAATGGTTTATGAATGTATAGCTAAACAATTCTGCTGTAAAATAACGTTTAATTTCATATTTAAAATAGAGATTTCCATTTATTTTTAGCTGGCAATAACAAAGAATTGGGGAAGGAAATATATTAATTTCAAGTTACAAATTAATAAAATTAAGCATATTAATTTGGCCTTCCTCCTGAGAATTTTACTTTAGTTATTTTATTGTTTATTGAAGGTGTATGTAGGTGGAATATTGCTGTGATATTGTATCATTTTTCTACTGTTTACTATTTGATAAATGTGAGAATACATATAGTTTGATTCAAATTTAATAGATTAAAACACGTGTAAAATGGGGTGGCATGTATTAAAACTAAAAACTGTTGGGTGAATGAATAGGTAAAATAATAGTGTTGAACCGCATGTGTTTTGGATTCTCCTTATAAATAACCTCAAATATTTACCAACATGAACACTTTTTAAAAATCTTTACCCCTTCCTATAGAGTAGAGGACTGTGAATTGTATGAGATCAGCATTTTCACCCCATCTCTGATATAAACCGTTACTTTCTCAGAGCGAATGGGTGAATGATTCTTTCTGAGGCCATGCTGTCAGATTTATCCAGGGCTAATTTTTAACTTGAAGCCAGTTCTACTGGTTGCTTATTTCTTACTGCTAAGCTAGGGTATTCGAGAGACTACAAATTAATTTGTAAGCTAAGCAAAATACTTTCAGAGAAGTAAGTATATTGTGTAGGGGGAAAAAAGTCATGTGACCAATAGCTAAATGGGAATGTTGATTATCTATGCTATTTGAACTGTTTAATCATGGCTCTAATCCAGCGGTTCTCAACCTGTGGGTCGCGACCCCTTTGGCAGTCGAACAACCCTTTCACAGGGGTCGCCTAAGACCATCCTGCATATCAGATATTTACATTACGATTCATAACCATCGCAACATTACAGTTATGAAGTAGCAATGAAAATAATTTTATGGTGGGGTCACAACATGAGGAACTGTATTTAAAGGGCCCAAGAGCTGATGGTTGAGGACTATGGATATTTATGCTTTAATCTTTCTAAATTTGTTAGAAATTTAATTTCACAATACAAGTAAACCTGGAGATCATAATATGATTCTTAGGTACTATAAAAATGAGGCATACATTTTTTGTAATTTGAGTTAATCATTCACCCTCTCGCCCATTTGATATTTAAAAAAACACTAATATGATATTTCCAAATAGTGATCAAGTTTTCAAGGAATAATTACTGTCTATATACTATCACTTTAGAAGGCAACCGACTATATAATCTTTTTTGTTGTACTTTATTTACTAGAGGCCCAGTGCATGAAAATTTGTGCGCTTGGGGGTGGGGGGGTCCCTCAGCCCAGCCTGTGCCCTCTCGCAGACTGGGACCCCTCGGGGGATGTCCACTTGCCATCTTAGGCCCTCAGGAGATGTCCGACTGATGGCTTAGGCCCAACATCCTTAGCGCTGCCAAAGAGGTGGGAGAGGCTCCCACCACCACTGTTGGGCTCGCAGCCATCAGCCCTGCTTGTGGTTGAGTGGAGCTCCCCCTGTGGAAGTGCACTGACCACCAGGGGGCAGCTCCTGCGTTGAGCATCTGCCCCCTGGTGGTCAGTGCGCATCATAGCGACCCGTCGTTCCTGGTAGTTTCGTTAGGGTCAATTTGCATATTACTCTTTTATTATATAGGATAGCTGCTGTTTATTGATACCTTTCTCTGTGCCAGGTGCTAGGTTAAGTGTTTTGCACACTTTGCCATGTTCAGTCATCCTAACAGCCCTGCAAGGTGGGTGTTTTATTTTCATTTTAGATGGGCTGCCTGATTCAGAGAGTTGAAATTACTGCCAGGGTCACATAGCTATTAAGTGGTTCACTCACACAGATGTCAGATTGACTTGAAAACCCAAGCTCTTCTCACTGGTTTCCCCTGCCTTTCCCAGGATAAATCTGTGAATGGAGAGAGGCAAGGAGGGGAGTCATACATGTCTCCAAACCAGTGTGTTTGGGGAAGGTCTTCTATTTAGCTGAGTTTCTTCATTTGCAAGTTCCATTTACTCTGTGAGATATAAATGTATTTCATATATGTGTAGAGGTGTGTGTATGTGTGTCTGCATACACACACACACAAACACACACTCTCTGTCACCTAAGGACATCAAGTGATTTTTCAATGTTTTATTAGTGATCCTTGAAGCATAAAAAATAAAAACAAATTTTGCATCCATGTAGTGATTAAAACTATTGTTATGTCTTTTGAAATACTTAAAGTGTAGAGAAACACTTGAAAAAATTGTTAACATAAAAAAAATAGGTTCATATTTTAGGGAGGGTCTAAGACTTGGTGAAGCCTTAGTGGTGAATTCTTATTCTCATTTTGAGTGTAGATGAAATTCTCAATTGATCTTTCAGTTGAGTGTTCAGAAATGTCTTATGAAGCCATGCATAGTGCTTCATTAAAATATTAAGGAGTTCAAGGTCGGTGCAAATAGTCTTGAGCCTTTACAAAGAGGAAAAATGAAAAGTTTTAGCTTTAAAACAAATAATTTTTAAAGAAATAAAAATCTTTTTCTGAGAAGTTTAAAAGTGAGAAGTCTTTTCAATAATAAAATATAATACTGTTGATAATAAAATATTTCAATAATAAAAAGTTTAATAATAATACTGTTGGTGCCCTATTTTACACATGAAGAAACTGAGGTACAAAGAGAAGTTAAGTAATTTGCCTGAAGTCACACAGCTACTGTATGAATGACAGCCACTTTGAATCCAAGCAGTCTAGTTCTGGAATCCAAGCTCTTGACCAATTTTGCTATATCAATGGGGCAATTAAAATAGAAGTGAGATTTCAAATGGAAATTTCAGGTTACTTTCAGAACTAGTTTAACTTGATTAACTTACAGTGTTTAGTACTACTTCTGAATTGGAGACTTTCAGTGTAACGGCTGCTGCTTTGAGATTCCTGAGTTTTTGCAGACAAAGACTGTCAGGGAGCTACTAGCTTCTTGTTGAGTCTGAGGTTGTTTGAAGGGGACTTCAACTCCTGTTCCTTGCATTTGAGGTCAGTGAGGGCAGTATAGGAAGAAAGTATGGAGTTAAAAAAGGTAGCTT